GAACCACCAGCAGCCAGGGACCAATCAGGAAACCAAAGGTCTACCAAGCCATATGCACTACCTACCATGATCATTGGATACTTTCCCATCATTGGATAGCTAAAAAAGAAAAGAAAACAAAATATACTATTGTTCAAATAAAATAAAAAGTACAGAATTTCTTGATAGCATCACCTCCTCATTCTTTCCTATTAAGTGATACAGGAGTTGCAATTCTATTATGTGCAAGTCATTTGGATGATTTCTTGCCATGTTACCTCATATTCACCATTTTTATTTCCTTAAATTGTCACATTAATTTTACTCGCATTATTTATGCATCTTTTACTTTCAGTTGTAGATGCCTAGATCTCATGGGTTATCGTCCATTATCTTATGTTCATTGGTTCTATAGTCATCATTCATCTAATATGATCATTTTTCATTGCATCTTAGTTTTGATTTGCTCAAATCGACCTTGAATAATGTCTTTTTTGTTTGTCATCAAATACTCATAACCTCAAAAATGTTGCTGGTCTAATTTGTTGTTTCATAAAATTTATGCTTATGTTTATGTGGTATTCTGTATATTGCATAATATTCTTAGTAAATGTCATATGGATAAAAAGAGATGGTGCATGGTGCTCTTAGGATTTTTTCATTTTGAGCACTCAACTTCATTTCTAGAAGTTAAGCCTCCATTTGCATCTTTTTTTTTTTTTTTTTAAATTTGGTGTAAAATAGATCGAAGATACTCAAACATGTCATACTGTAGGTTTCACTAAGCTATGTTCTCTGTTGAGTTTATTGTAATAATGCTTAGGGTATCACATATGATGAAATATGTGATTCTGTTTTTTTAATTTTCAAAAAAAATTTATCGGAATTTTTCTCAAGCATTTTCTTAAATTTAGCTTTTAATTGACTTATACCAATATCATAACCAAGTCACACCTAGCTTTGTAAATTATCTGTGAAGCATTTTTATTTTTGTTTGAATACATATTCATGATTGAGATTTTGGCCATCTAAATAAATCACTTAAGGTTAGTTTCAATGCTATCTTATTTGTATATTGTTTTTTTATCCAAATGTTGCAACATCAACAACTTTTCTAGGTTAAGCATTAAGCTATAGTTAATTATATAATTTGCTTGGACAAGGAATATGAGAAGCCCTTTAGACTAATTTATGAATAATATTTATAGCATCTCACACAACACTCAACATGAACAATGAAAATTGATGAGTCGTAATGCCAAACCTAAACCCAAATAGTTGGGGTAAGGCTAATGATGATGAAACTAGGTTCTTCCTTTTCATATTGTGGTTGTATGACTTGGTATCCGGTTTTGATGGTTTTGTTCTTTAAACTTCTTTTTCCCTTGTTAAGTATGTTTATCATTTAGAGAAGTGGTACACATAATGGCATTTTAAATTTTTTTTTATAAGGACTTCAATCCTCCGGTAACGGTCTTTAGCATCCATGGGTTGCTTGGTAGTTTGTTTTATGCAATGAGATTATTCCATTCATTTATCTGATATAATTAATTATCTAGTACCCATGAATATTCATTTGTCCAATATAAGGAGTTTAATCCTTTGGATAACTTTTTCATATGATTCCTCTGAATATTCATCTTCTTTTCTACGTATTCACATTATACACACCTTTCTAAGTTGAATGGAAGTAGTTGGAATAAGGCTAATGATGGTTATCACATGGACATAGTCATGAGAAAATTATGGAACAATTTGGTGCAGTCCATGTTTCATCTATATTTGAGAGAACTCATCAAAATTGGTATACAAGTTGTGTTCTCTGTGAATTCATTTATTAAAAGAAAAAGAGGAAAGCATGTTGATTTAGACTGTTCTATACTTTTCTAGTAAGCTTTACCATCTTTTTGCAGATGGTGGGGGAACTGGCAAAGATATGTGGGCTTTGAAGAGACTGAACTTCCTCATTTTTGCAATCATTCAAATAATGGCGCTCTACAAAACCCTTGTAGGCCTGGACAGATTAATAACAAAGAGCTCATTTCAGATAGATCAAATGAAGGAGGTGATAAACCAACTCTTCGCATGAATTTGGAGGAAGGAAAGGATTATCATTTAGTTCACCAAAGAGTTTGGAAAAAGCTACAAGAATGGTATGCGATTCTGGTTCATGTGTCTTTTGGACATGCTGTTGCTATGTTTGTCCCTTTTTTTCTTATTTCCATGAGCATCCATGTATCATATAGGGTGATTTACATTTTCTTTCCCACTGGTCGGCACCTTGTTGTTGATTATTTTTATTCAACAATCTTACTAGAGTATAGATCAAAATTCAAATGGATATCAGATCTTGCAACTTATCATCTAAAGCATTATTGTAATCCGAGTATTAGTAGTGTTTATGAAAATAATGACAGGTTTAATACAACGGAAAGAAGTTTAATTTAAATCTAGTCATTATGAGCGGGATAATCTATGAGGTATTTTTTATGTCGAAGCTGAACTTTTTGGATTGGCAACTGTTTAACATAAGATCTATTGAAATTTAAGATATAGTAGTGTTCAGGAAATGAAGAACTGGGTTGATAGAATGGAGAGCAGTTTGAAATGTAGAAGTACCAGACAAAAGACATGCAATAAATCTCCAGGAAACATATTGTTATGATTAGTAGAAACCAGGAACTAGCCTTATTTGTAATGTACAGGCCTCTAATAAAAGTAGTTCTAAACATTTTAATCTATATGGAAGTTAGATTAACATGGCATGTTTCTTTAGTACTAAATTTGTTAATACTGATTAGCTAGCTGTTGACTGCTAATCAGTTGATCGGCATCTGCACAAAACTATGTTCTCCTAAACGATGCTCTAACCACCCACGACTTTGCACGTTGTCTCCACGATCTCAGTACCGAACTACTCACGTACAAACCCCTCAGCCCGTTCGCCTCCCGCATTCGCACAAAGGAATACCGACACTCCCTAGTTCTCTCGCTCACAAATTACCTGCTGCGGTTTCTTGCATGCTCCGACCAAAAGCCCCATTCGTCGTCCGTCTTCGCACAAACCCATGCAACATACTCGCTCCAATCTCCCTCATGCGTCAATGTTTGACCCCGCAAGCCAAGTCTTCGATTCTACCCTTAATCCTTCGACAAACCCGAAGGCTCCACCTCCCGCTTCTTGCTTGCGCTCGTTAATCAAACTCCCTTTGCAAGTCTCCTTCATAAAGACGTGAAATAAGCAAACCAGTTTGCTTGCAAGTCCCCCAATCCTCCTCTCTCCTATCTGCCTCCTCCACTCGTGAATAGAGCCTGCCCCCTCGACGAGTCCGAGCCAATTGAGAATGTCCCCAAGCAGACCGAACTAAGCTCCTGCTTTGCGCCTACCTCTCATGATCCCGATTTCCCTGTTTTTGTTTCTTGAAATTGTGTGAGTGAGGAGATGGATAAATAATATTATATTATACAAGTATATAATATAACATTTATATAATGTTATATAACATTGTAATTATATTAATATGAACATAAAAGTGAAAGCAAACATTGCCATTGCAAAATCGGAATCTCGGGGTTGATTCAGTCCCCTGAAGCCCTCGGTCATCTATCTGACTCGGCTGAGTGGATAGAAAACTTAGAGACCAATACCGGTGTCGATTGGCTCCCCTGATGTCCTCGCCGTCAATTTGATCCGGTTGAGTCAATTCAAAAGGCGAGTAGTTATGATTAGGAGAAACCAGGAACTAGTCTTATTTGTAATTTATAGTCTTCTAATAAAGTTGTTCTAAACATTTTAATCTATATGGAAGTTAGATTAACATGGCATGTTTATTTAGACTAAAGTTGTTAATACTGATTAGCTAGTTGTTGACTACTAATCAGCTGATCGGCCCCACAAAACTACGTTCTCCTAAACGATGCTCTAACCACCCACGACTCTGCACGTTGCCCCCACGATCTCAATACCAAACTACTCCCTTACAAACCCCTCCTTAGCCCGTTCGCCTCCCTCATTTGCACAAACGAATACCGACATTCCCTAGCTCTCTCGCTCAGGAACTACCTGCTCCGATTTCTTGCATGCTCCGACCAAAAGCCTCAGTCGCCGTCTATCTTCGCACAAACCCACGCAACATACCCACTCCAATCTCCCTCATGTGTCGATGTCCGACCTCGCAAGCCAAGTCTTTGATTCTACCCTTAATCCTTCGACAAACCTGAAGGCTCCGCCTCCCGCTTCTTGCTTGCGCTCGTCAATCAAACTCCCTCTGCAAGCCTCCATAAAGACGTGAAACCAGCGAACCAATTCTCTTGCAAGTCCCCCAATCTTCCTCTCTCCCGTCTGCCTGCTCCACTCGTGAATAGAGCCTGCCCCCTCGACGAGTCCGAGCCAATTGAGAATGTCCCCAAGCCGACCAAACAAAGCTCTTGCTTTGTGCCTACCTCTCATGATCCTGTTTTCCGTGTTTTTGTTTCTAGAAATTGTGTAAGTGAGGAGGAGAGGGATATATAATATTATAGTATATAAGTGTATAATATAACATTTATTTAATGTTATATAACATTGTAATTATATTAATATGAACATAAAAGTGAAAGCAAACATCGCCATTGCAAAATCGGAGGAATCTCGGGGTTGATTGGGTCCCCTGAAGCCCTCGGCCGAGTGGATCGAAAACTCGGAGACCAATACCAGTGTCGATTTGCTTCCCCGATGTCTTCGCCGTCAATTTGATCTGGTTGAGTCAATTCAAAAGGGCGAGTGCCCCCCCTCCCCCCTCACGGGAAGAGAACGTTGTGGGGTTGCCAAAATTGTCCCGTAAAACTTCCAAAATTATGCGGAGAGACCTCCGAATTAGTGAGTTGGGAAATCTTAATTAATTTAAATTTTAAGTATAATGAAGCTAAAATTAGCATTGAAATCCTGATTAATTTACTATTTTAAATTCCAATTTAATTAATTAAAATACTAATTGACTCAATTAATCAACAATTGATTAACTAACTTTAAAGTAAAATTAAAATTCAATTTTAAATTGAAAATTTTATTAAAACTTAATTTTAAAATTAAAACTTTATTTTAATTAAATTTAAAATCTTTTAATTAATTAATAAAGATCAACTAATTTAATTACTAATTAAATTAAAATATTTTAAAATTAAAAAAATAAATTTAGTGAGCAAGTGATATAAATAATAGTTAAATAACTTTAAAATATTTAACACAACCAATTAATTAAATTTAAAATCCCTTAAATTAATTAAATCCTTTGAGAAAATAATTTGATTAATAATTAAATAAATTTAAATGAAATCAAGCCCACTCAACTCGAATTAAACTCAATATATGGCTTTTTTTAAGCCTATGATGGCTAGTTGTAAGATCCACTTTCTGGAGCCACTTTTCAATGAAAGCCGTAAGCAAGGTTTAAAATGCGTAAATAAGCCTTGAGGCGGTTTTCGGTCCGTGAGGCGAGTGTAAGCCTCGAGGCGGTCTGAGGCGAAAGCCTCACGGATTGCAGGAATTGCATAAATGAGAATTTAAGATTTTAGCAGGTAAATAATAGCAAGATTCTATATTACAATAAAAACATCTAAATGATAAGTGGAATTAGGGAAATTAAGAAATAGATGTAATAAAAGCATATCCAAAGTACAAAACCACAAAATTATAGTCTATCATAATCTCAAAATATAATTAAGAAGAAAACATATAAAATCCAATCATATCCCATCACTAAATGGGTCTTCAAGAATCTCTTTCTCCAATCCTGTATTCATAAAATATCATATCTT